TGATGATGATGATGCTGGCGAAGATGACAAAGTCGACGACGATGCAGAGGCTGAGTGGGATGGTGGTCGTGCTGACAATCTTACTGTTTATGTCGTTCTTGTTGGTGATGGCTATAATACTGCTGATGATCGGTCATGGAACCGTAGTTGTACTGTTCGTCTGAAGTAGCTTCCGCCCTGTATGGACGAGCATCGGTAGGGGATGAAGTCGGTGCTCCGCTCTCGGCTGCGAGGCCTTGTTGCAGGCCGTACGTCTACATACGAGCATAGCAATAACAAGCATGATAAACAATCCAACTAGTCTTACAAGGATAGCACGGATGGTATGATTGCAAGAAAGCTACATTTATAATCATGTGCATTGTAATTGACCACCTACATGAACTATACATGAAAATGTAGCTACAAGTAGCAATGCGAGGGCTTCTTTGCTCACGCTCAAAAGTAAGGGCCTTTCTCCTTTAGGGTGCCGAATTTCGCGATGCCGGGAAAGTTTGAGGGGGAGGTTTGAGGCTTTACGGAGTTAATGCGGCTTCGAATGCCCCCTGTCGGAATTTCGGGCATCATAGATGCACAAACGCGAGCATCAAAGTGGGCGAGGCAAACTAAACAAGGTCCTGTCAGCAGGTCTGCCGACTCTCTGCCGAATCTGCAAGCTGGACTCTTCGGGCAGCAACATTTGATTAAACAGGTTTAGGGTGTAGGGTTTAGGGATTGCTTGGGGACGACAGTTGGCCTCAGTGAGGAGCTTGGGTTGCTCATCCTGTCTCAGAAGACTCCAACATGGACCGCGGCGAAAGAGGCCGTATCCAGGTGGCCCCGGCAGAGATCGCCCTTCTCCCTGTGGTGCATAGCCTGCACCCCGGCAAATCAGGTAGAGGTTGGGTTATACAGATCCATATGTTGGCAGGAGGGGGTGATACAAATAGGGACTCGGTGTGCAGGTTTTCGGTGAAAGCATGTCGTCAAGTTGCAGCTCTATCTCTCACACCCGCCGCGCGGATGCCCGAGTAGCTGCAAAAAAAGCTAGAGGAGCCTCTGCAGGTTGTTCAGACAGCTGATCTCTGACTAAGTTTGGTGCGGGATTTCGGAGAGGTCCTAAGAAACGTGGCCTACAAACAGCCCGCTCGCTCCCTAGGCAGATGTCAAGAGGCTTTAGCATCAGCCGAAAGCAGCTGAAATTAAAGAAACTCTGATTAGACGGGCATGAGTTGTTCGAGAGACCCTAACCACTAGAATCACTGAAGGTCTGCAATAACAGTCCACAAAACTCTCTCAAACTTTGCGGCGGGCCCCGAGGTATTCTCGCTGGCTTTATCGAGATGCCTGATGTGCAAAGAGTGCCTCTTCGATAAATAGCTAGCTAGCTAGCT